TGTAAGGTTTTTGTTGAGAAGTCTGATGATAGCCTGATGAATTTTCCTTTGTAGGTGATCTTTTTTTCTCTCTCTGGCTGCCTCTAATACTCTGTCCTTGTCTTTGATCTTTGCCATTTTAATTATTGTATGTCTTGGTGTTGTCCTCCTTGGTTCCCTTGTGTTGGGAGATCTGTGGGCTTCCGTGATCTGAGAGACTGGTTCCTTCCCTAGCTTGGGTATGTTTTCAGCAATTATTTCTTCAAAGACACTTTCTATCCCTTTTTCTCTAACTTCCTTTTCTGGTACCCTCATAGTCCGAATATTGTTCTGCTTGGATTGGTCACACAGTTCTCTTCATGTTCTTTCATTCCTAGAGATCCTTTTATCTCTCTTTGCCTCAGCTTCTCTGTATTCCTGTTCTCTGATTTCTGTTCCATTAACAGTCTCTTGTATCTCATCCAGTCTGCTCTTAAGCCTTTCTATCGATTGTTTCATTTCTGTCATCTCTCTATGGTCTTCATCCCTTAGCTCTTGCATATTTCTCTGCAGGTCCATCAGTGTGGTTATGACTTTTATTTTGAATTCTTTTTCAGGAAGATTTTTTTAAATCTATCTCACCAGGCCCTCTCTGTGGGGTTGTCTGAGTGATTTTTGACTGGACCAGATTCTTCTGCCTTTTCATGACGATAGAAGTGGTCACAGGCAGGTAGCACATTTGTCAGCTGGGAGCACAACGTCCCTTCCCACTTGATGGTCACCTTGCCCTTCTCTGCTGCCTGTGCAAGTTACCCTCATACTGGTAGGAGCCTCTGGGTTAATCTCCTGAGCTGCCATGGGAAGGGCCGCCCTCAGGCTAGCCTAGAGCACTGTGGGGGTTCGCAACTGCACTGGGTATGTTTTCCTGTGAGAACGGCGCCCCTTCGTGCCTTCCAGACCTTACTCTGTCTTCCGCTGCCTGTGCCGGTTACTCGCACACCAGGAGCAGACTCTGGGACAATCTCCTGAGCTGCTGTGGGTGGGGCCGCCCTTAGGCTAGCCTTGAGTGCTGCGGATGGTGGGGGGCGGTCAAAGCCGCACTGGGTGTGTTCTCCTGTGAGAATGGTGCACCTTTGTGTCTTCTGGACCTTGCTCCAGGTTCCGCTGCCTGTCCCGGTTAGCTGTGCCCTGGGAAGAGACTGTGTGGTTGCTGTGGGCAGGGCCGCTTTCCTCCTGCTCTGCAGCTGTGGGGGGTCAGCCAGTTTGCTTGTAGTGCCAGCCAATGGTTGCAGCTGCTATGACCTTTTAAATGGTATCATTTAAAAGTGAATGGCAGGCTGCTTATAACTGTGAGGGGCTTCAGGGCTGCTTTACCACTCAGGGAGTTAGGGGACCCAAAGTTCCTCAAGACTCCTAGCCTGCTGGGCTGAGTGTGCTGGGATGATTTTGTTCAGCTGTTGAGCCTTTGTCCCTTTAAGACTTTAAAAAAGTACCCGCTTTTCTTTTGTTCCAGGGGAGCCGGCTTTGGGGACCCACTCACAGTCTCCGTCTCGGACCCTACCCTTCCGTTTCTCTAATATCCAGCACATAGTGCAATGCGTGTCTGCGCTCCTGGTGCAGATAACTAGGGCTGGTTATTTAGCAGCCTGTGCTTCCACTCCCTCCCCACTCCGACTCCTTTCCTTCCACTGGTGGGCTGGCGTTGGGGGGTGTGCTCAGTGCTCAGCTCCTGCTGGGTCATGGATTTGTATCTTTCTCCCTTCGTGAGGTTCTGAGTTCTTGCAGATGTAGACATAGCCTGGCTGTTGTACTGTATCCTCTGGTCTCTCTTTTAGGAATAGTTGTATTTGTTGTATTTTCAAAAATATATATGGTTTTGGTAGGAGATTTCCGCCGCCCTGCTCACGCCACCAACTTGAGCCATATCTCAACTTCTCTTAATTTAGATGGTTAGTTGCAAACTGCTATTAAATTTGCTTTGCAATTGTTTCTCATGTTTGTGTAGGTAGACCGACACATTAATTAATATTCAAGGTCCTATTTATTATTTTTTTCCCTGTAACTTGAAAAAGGTGGAAAAATTTATGAGTTAAAGGTTGGGAAAACTTTGTTACTAATAAATATAGGTTAGTAAGACTCATTCTAGTATTTATTTGACAATCTTTATGCCTTTATTTTGGGTATTGTTAATTAATACCCAAAATACAGGCAAGTGATTAGGAACTTGATATCCTTAAGATTAAAAACTGGAAGTATGTTTTCTAAGTTGTTTGTATTCAGAATTTTGTTTATGAATATTATTTTTGATCTTTTCTCTAATGAGTGGAGAGTCACTGTAATAGAGTAAGGAGGAGACTAGATTAGTGGGAAGCCTGGAGACTTGGGTTTTTGATTATAGCAACCAGCTAGTAGTTAAGTGACTTTAGGGTTATTGCCTAACTTTTCCTGGTATAATTTTCTTTCCTCTAAAGTGTTAGGTTTTGAAAATGGATAGATAATGTGTGAGCGGGCAGCAGAACTGTGAGGTTCGGGATCTAAAATTGGCAGAATTTTTAAAGAGCTTCAGTTAGAAAGGGGTTTGTCTACTTTTCTCTCTTGTAATGATACCAGAGTAAAGGTATTAAAATACTAAAAAGATTATAAAACAGCATACACACAGACAGGAAAAAGACAAGCAGGACTATAGAAAAGGGCTTACTCATAGATGGCCGAGATCCAAAGGGCAGCTGGTGTATGCACTGCAACTTCCGTGGAGCAACATCCCCATCTTGTGGCTTTTTTTTCCTCTTTACACACATCAGTAATGGGGTGAAGTAAGACCAGAGTGCTCCCTGAATCTGAAAATACAGCTCACTGTTTTTTTGTTTTTGAGTCTTATACTTTAAAAACAAAACGGTCGCAGCTGCTATGACCTTTTAAATGTTATCATTGCCAATAATTGATCCATTAATCTTACAACTATTTTTCCAAAATGCTATATATAGAAATGGTGAAAAGTTTAGCTGTAACTAGGTTTCTCACTTTTATGACACTTATATAAGAAGAAACATTAATATTACATTGCTTCATAGTTTTGGATACTCATAAAGGTCACTTGACTGAATTGTTTATAAAAAGAAGGCAACGAAATTCCACATAAGTTTCGAATTATTCTTGGGGAATGACTTCATAATGGTAAGGGTAATAAGCTCATTTAAGATATCTTTAAAAAGCAGTTCAGTAGCAGTGTATCGTGGAGACCATGACAACACAGCTGCAGGAGCATAGCAGTTTTCCCAGTGTTATGTGAATAGGAACTGACAGCTTAGGGTACATTTGCAGGGGCAACCTTACAGGGCCGTACAAAGAGCTTGTGTCCTCACACAACTTGGAGGTGAATAGGACTTTGATGTAATTCTACTTATGTGAACACTAAAATGTGCTTAAAAGTCATTACCTTGTTTAATTTTGCAATAATTCTGTGAGGTAGGCACTGTTATCTCACTTTTATAGATGAGAGAAAACTGCTTGGGTCACATGTCAAGTGGGCAGCAGAACTGGGAGGTGGCCTTGGGCAGTCCAGTGTCACATTTGTGCTAGAATGTGCTGTCTGGGTGTGGAGCTAATGGTCATGAGTGACTTTGATCTAGAAGCTGGATTTGATATGGGATCTGCTGCTTACAGCCATGGGACCTTGGGTATGTCACATAACTTCTGCTTCAGTTTCTACAGCTGTAAAATGGGTTCTTTTAGTATTAAGTGTAATGAGTTATTTAAAATAGCACACAATGTTCACTGAACAAAAGGTTATTAATAGTCATAGTCATTGTAAGAATGACTGACCTTGTTTTTGTGATTAATAGCAACCCTGTATTTCTGTGGCCCAAGATTTTCAAGCATTTGTTTTGAAGCATGGTAGATAAAGTGGCTAGGGCTTTTTAATTGCTGTCCTTAATGGTTTTAGTTAGTAAGTGAAAGATGTTTTGGTTTCAGCAAAAGAGAGGAGTTACACAAAATGACAGTTTCTTTAAAAGAGATGTCAGTTCCTTCTGTCGTAATTGTGGGTGTTTCTGTGTACTCAGAGGAGAATGCACCAGAGCCAGAGAGGCTTCCAAGGGCCTTCACCCAGTCTTTTCAGTATTTGTTCAGTGGGGCTGGAGCATGTTTCCTGCTAGATGCTGTTGAGAATGACCGTGACCACAGGGTCCATCCTTTGGAGAGGCCAGGCCACACATCCCAGGAAGGCAGTGGTAAATTGGAAAAATCATGGTTGGATTCCAGGGGTTGGAGAATGATGGCAAAGACCAGGTTCAGTGAGAATGAGAGAGTGGGAGCTTTGCAAGGCTAAGGGATTCCAGGCAGAGGGGAAGATTTTTGTGTTAAGATTTTAGAAATAAAGCAGGGAGTGATGAGGTCTAAAGGGGGCAGGTGATGTGAGAAACATTAGCAGATTGTGTGGTGAAGGGCATGTTAGAAGAAACTGTTCTGCCCGTGAGGAAATTTGTTCAGGTATCTCTCCAGTGGTGACTAAGGGCCCTTGCTGACATGGGGTGGGGAGGGTGCATAGAATAAGGACAGAAAGGAGACTGGGGACCTTGGGGGGAGAGTGCTGCTTCAGAATTCTAGAAAATGGTACCTTTCAGTGCATTTTTAAAGATGGAATATAGTTCTGTTCTTTAAAAATCATTGAGAGTGTATATGTTAATAAAATTGAGCTTTTATGAGCTTTCTGGTCATACCCAGTTGTTTGATGAAGTGGTTCTTAGCTAGGAACGGAAATCTCATTTTGGAAAATACTATTTCCTCATGATTGATTTATGTCAGTATAAAATAGATTAATTAGGAATTTATATACATGGTCTATTGCTGTTAATGTTTAGTACAGTGCTTTCTTTAGCATTTTCATTTAGATTGAACATTTTCTGGGGCAGAATGTTTTTTAAAGGGAATTTTGTCTTTAGGAAATAATTTGTTAAGTTTAATTAGGAAAAAGCTGAATTTGAATATGTGTAGCTCTTAAAATTACAAACTTTTTACATTTACATTGACATTCCTTTGTGTAGGAGTTAAAGTTCCTCGTAATTTTCGCTTGTTGGAAGAACTTGAAGAAGGACAAAAAGGAGTAGGCGATGGTACTGTTAGCTGGGGCCTTGAAGATGATGAAGATATGACACTTACAAGGTGGACAGGCATGATTATTGGGCCACCAAGGGTCAGTGCTATATATTATATATATTTCTTCTATTAATATTTATTGTCACTTTAAACTAAGCATTTTATTTTGTAATATTGGAACTAAGATAAATTATAACTTCTAACTGAAATAATTCTTCCCTTTTTATTTTCTGTATATTTATTGTTGGCTTCCCATGTGCAGAGTATAATGCTTGATGTTCTGGAGGATTGGGGGGAAAAGGTTGATATGATCAACAACCAGCAGTTCAGAAGAGGAGAAAAAATAAATACAAATGACAGATTTGAAATATGGCAGAGAAAGTTCACTACGGGACTTTAGAATATGTTTCTTCTAGCTGGAATAATTGAGGAAGGCTGAACAGTGGAGGAAGTTGCCTTTGGGATGAGCCTTAAAGGACTGACTGGTAGGATTTCAGAAGGTGGTGATGGGGATGGAGAACATTCCAGATAGAGAGGAGAAAAGGTGAGGAAATGGAGGGGAGTATTTGGGAAGAGCAAACAGTATATTTTGACAAAATGTGTTACTAATCCACCATGTGTGTAATCAAGAGTTTCTAAATTGGTTTTTACTGAGTGAATGTTGCTGCTTGCCCACTGACATTTGACTTGCTATACAAATACTATAGGCCTGAGTTTCTTCATCAATACACAGAAAAGGCAATGATTCTTTCATATTTTCTAGTGTTGCTGGCAACAGGCCCACTGTTGTTTTTTTCTCAGGTCTTTCTCAAGTTTATAGCTTTACTCAAAATGTTTTTCAGATTGGAAGTTTTTCCCTACATTGCATTCCTACTCATAGGTCCCGTTTACTGCACTCCCTGCATTGAATCTTTGTAATATGTGTTGGGTAATGTTTTTGACTTGCTAGAAAGAACACAAATTTGAAGTGATTTTTTAGTTTTTGGTTTTGTATACTGTTTGCTACTTTGTGTTGAGAGCATTTCAACTGTTTTGCTATTGGGCAGAGTTTAGATTTCCTCTTGATTATTACAAAAGAAAAATGGATCAGGTAGTAGCAATGTTAACCTTAGAGAATGCATTAATGTATGTCTTTTATTTTCTGGGTTTCCTTTGAAAATTTGTGCACACTGTTGAATAAACAAACTCCCTTTGATTTTCCCATTTGAGGAAGGAAATAAAATATTGATGGTTAGAATTCTTGATGTGTTTTATAACTTGGTATTTGTAATGAAAACCTTCATTTTCACTGCCTGAGAGCATTATTACCATGTTGTTTGGTTAAAAAAGTGCTTAAAACTTATGAACATTTTTAATGACTTTGACAATTTTATAGTCTGAACTTGGTGGAATATAAATTTGAAATTTTTTAGCTTTGATTTTTCTCCAGCTACTAACTCCAGTGGACTTTAAACTTTAAGACTGTTCTTGAGCTTGTGTATGAGGTCCTCAGTGATGCTGTGGACTATCCCATAGCATAGTTCCCAGATGTAGAAGAACACTTTCTGTTCAATCTCTCACCTGGTTGGGGTCACCAGAAGCTAGATATCTTTCTGCTGACACTAAACTGCAGTTCCCATGTCTAGGCTGTGCCCAGTGTGGGGGAGGGTAGGCCGGTGTGCAAGGGACGCATGGACAAGAAGCTGCCCACTGCCACACTGGGCTTCTCTGCCAGGGGCCCTCTGCTTTCTGTGGTGGTAAGTCTTGGAGCTCTTTCTCACTTCTTTGGGTGCCAAGCAGAGGCAGGAGGAGAGTATGTGCAGAGGTACAGCACAGCCTTCTTCCCAACCAGACCTACGCCACTGTGACCTGCTCTGCATCACCATCTCCCCCGTCACCTCCCTCACTGAGCTGGGGGACTGGGTGAAGGTGAGTGAGTATAGCACCCGTTCAGTTGCCTTTGCATAAAACCTGCTGGGGTTGGTGTCTTGCCTTTGTTTTCTATTTAGAAGGCATCAAATTTAGGGCAGTTTTGTATCCAGCCTTAGGTATCTTTATCTAACCAAGATAATAGGAAAATTCTTACTTTAACAAACTGTTACTTGTTTAATTGCTTTGCATTTTTTTACATGTTATTAAGATCTGGTCATCCCAGTATTTATTGGATTTGTATGATTAGCAATTAGTTTTTCCATATATGTTCATGTGTTAAGTTTTGTAAAGCCTTTTCAGCATTAGATGTTTAGAGTTTTTCCATTTCCTTAGATGTAAAACGGAGGTACTATACCCATCTTTAGAGGTTTTGAGGATTAACTGAAGTAATAATCAGACACTATGGGGTACCTGACTATACAGTACATACTTAGTAAATACTAGTTCCTTTTACTATTCTCCCTTCTATTTTATTTTACTTTTATTAGATGACAGACTTGGCTGTTAATTTAAAATTTAGAGGTGGTAAATTAATCCAGGGTCTCAAAGGTATCTTAAGATGGTATTTATTCTAAGCATTGAATTAGATCAATAGGCTAGTTTAGAGGATTTTTTTTAACTTTAAAAGAAATTTGAGGTATAATTTATATATAGTGAAATGCACAGATCTTACCATGAGTTTTGACAAATGTACCTTGTTGCCTGCACCCGTCAAGATAGAAAACAATGCTGTCACCATAGAAGGTTCCCTGTGCCCTCTCCTAGTCCCATCCCATCACTACTCCTCCACTCTAGAGACGTTTTGCCTGTTGTAGAACTTTGTATAAGTGGAATCATGCAATGTGTATATTTACTGGTCTGCTTTTGATTTGTCATAATGTCTCAGTGAGTCAGCTGTGTTTCTCCATGTAGTAAGTAGTGTGTTTCTTTTTATTACTGAGTAGTAGGTTACTGTATGGATATACCATAATGAGATCATCAATTCTCCTCTGCATAGTATTTGGATTTTTCTGCCTTCTGGTTATTAGAGCTATTATCATTATTATTACTTTTTAATGCAGGTTTTGTAGAGAAGCTGATGCATCCAGATTAGAGAACAGACTAGGTGATTTCTTTTGAGATCTGAGTTTAGTCCTTATATATACCCAAAGTGCTAGGCATGTTATTAGTCTGTGTTTGCTATTAAACTTGGATGAGTTTTATACAGCTGTTTCTTTTTTAAAATATTGAAGATTTAATAATATATGTACAGGATTGTTGCATACATTTTAAATTACAGTAGTTTAATGTCTCTGATCTGACCCTCCACTTGGAAGTAGCTCTTATTTAAGGGAGAGGAAGCTGTGGACAGTTTGGGTAAGTGAAATCTATGGACGCCTACCTACTTTTTCCCCCCAGGTTTATCAGGAACCAACAGGTATCCAATTTTTTGCTTTTATTTTTTACTTTCCTGTTTTAATTGTACACTAATAAATTAACCCACTAAACAAAAGCCATAAGGATAAAGAAGAATTAATCATAGGCATGAAAATGAACACATGAAAATAGGTAACAATCACCCAGAAGCATTAAGTCTGGTAGCTTTAAAATGGCTGTATAATATGGTAATGTTAAACTTTTCAATTAAGAAACCCTGTTTTAAAATTATGTGGAAACAGTTTGATGTTGTATCTGAATTCAGGTAGTGGAATTTAATGAGCCACAAAATTAATGAAGTAATAATGTAAATATAACTAATAAGAGATATGAAATAATTGTTTTATTGCTGTAAGATGGTATAGTATGGTGTATTCCCTTTTGCTAGAAGTTACTAATTGCTCTGTAAGTGGGGTAACCATATAATTTATTGTCCAACCAGACCCTTTTGAGAATGAAAAGAAGTTTTATTAAAAATTAATAGTGGGATAGTAAGAATAAACAGAATTGTCCTGGACAGATGGGAACCTGTGTGTTTGATACAAGTCAAGTAGTACCTCCCCAACAATTGAAACTTTCTAGTAAAATCTGAACTTAAGTGGTTTGTTTTTTCTTTTTAATTTGTTCATAGGCCTTGTTTGTATCACAAAAAGCAAGTTCTGATCATCTTGATATTATGTTGTATAATTATTTTAATTTTATAAAATCTCTACTTTTAAGTATGCTTGCTGCATTTTTTTCTAACCGGATAGGTCAAGTAAATTTGAATGTAGAAAAGTAAATTCTTGATAATGCACACAGTAATATGAAATATGTTCACATTGTGCTTTTCTTCTTTATTAGCACTTGAATATTATTACTTTTTTTTTTTTTGCCTTCCAGACAAATTATGAAAACAGAATATATAGCCTGAAAGTAGAATGTGGCCCTAAATACCCAGAAGCTCCTCCATCAGTAAGATTTGTAACCAAAATTAATATGAATGGAATAAATAATTCCAGTGGAATGGTAAGTTAAAGTAGCCATTTCTGTTCTTATGTAACCTATAATATACAGTCAGTAGAAAGTCAAAAAAGAAAGATCTTTGTGTAGCTGAAAGTCTAAAGAAATTTGTCTCATGTGTTTTCTCTAATAAATCAACCTCCTTAAAAACTTATTTGTATTGGCTCAGATAGATGAGTCAACTATTAGGATTTTATGTTGCTTCAGTTAATCATATTTCAGTTAAATTCATATATGGGGAAAAGATGATCATTATTTCCTCTTTGAGTGTTATTTTTCTTTAGGGTTAAGGTATATTTGGTGAGATTAAAAGGATGAATGCTTGTGAAGAGGAGGCTTTTCTTTGAGGAACAAGTGTATCTGTATTGGAATAGTTGTGGTGAACATTATTGTCTGTTTAAAGCAAGTAAACCAAAATGACATAGTTTACTTGAACCACATAAGGAAGTTAGTGGGAACAGCTGAATATTCAATTCAGTTTTCCAATATGAATTTCCAATATGTTAGGTTTATGTTAAGACTTTGAAGTCCAGCCTCTTGAGGTGCCATGTTGAAAGCATACTCATGTGCAAAATACATGTTAGGATACATGATAAGATAATAATACAATAGCATCCATCATAGGAAACAAAATGTTATCAATACTGTTAAAGTCTTGTTTGTACCTCCTCATCCCATCCCTATGTTCCCTTTCCCCAACACAGGTTATTAACATCTTGAAAATTTTCTTATATTGTATAATTTCTCTTTATACTTTTACCCATTGTGTCACATATGTACACCTACCTTCCCTCCTTTTCTCTTTCCTTCCTGTCTATCACCTCTTAAAAACATAAGTCTATACCAGTACCTCGAATTCTGTTCCAGCACTACCGGGTATATTCCACATCTCATCACCGGGTATATTCCACATCTCATCCTGTCTGTATTTGTAATTCCCTCCTCCAATGTTAGAAACCTGGCTCCTATTATCTCCAACATATGTACTGAAATTTGTTCAATTCTCCCTATATGTAACCACACTTAGGGCAACAAGATGAGCCTGGACACACAGTTAGCTCCCCATCTCCCAACCCCAGCCTGGTGCACAAGCCCAAAGTTGGGCCTCAGAGAGCTGGTGCCTCTGTGCTTGGTGCCCTGGAGGAAAGCATGACCCCGACAGGAAAGGTCACAAGAAGGCTCAGGGCTGGGTCTGCTGGGACATTCCCCACCCTGCTTGGTGTGTGCCAACTCAGGGCTGGACCTGAGAGTCCTTCCTGTCAGTCTTGGTAATTAGTTCATTTTGCATATAGTGTTCATTGTATTGATACATTAATGCTAAGATAAATCATCTTATTTTGTGTTTTCTGTTTTCCTATGTGTGTCTTGTTTCTTGACCATTTTTGCCTTTATGAGGAAAATATTTTTGATAAATTTCTGTACCAGGAAAAAAAAATTTTCTGTACCAGGAGCAGCTAGCTGTTCTGAACTGCTGGTTTGTTTTCATGTTAGACTCTGTAAATTAAGTAATTAATAGTGGGTTCAACATTGTCATGGCAACAAGGAAATTCAGAATTAAATTTCAAAGACACATCTAACAAGTTTATCTTATGGGCTTCTTTTCCATTTTTTGACATCTCAGTCTTTGTTGAAAACGTAACTTGAGTCAGGGCTTATTTTTCTGTTTACATCGCCAACAAATGAATGTTGATCATCATTTCTTGTCTTATCTGATCCCTTATAACAACCTCTCTGATTCTGTTTTTTTACCCCCTCAAGTGTTTATGAAGCAAGCAGCCAGAGGATCTTTCTGCAACACAAATTGTGTCATGTCACTTCAGTGCTTTACAGTCTGTTAGTGGTTTCTGCCACAGGTTGCATGCTTTCTGCCATGGTACATTAGAAGCTCACAGGGTGCATTCTGCCTGGCACATCTGCTTTTATTTAATAAATTTTTAAAATTTATTTTGATATTAGTGTACAATTACTTGAACAACATTATGGTTATTAGACTCCCCCTATTATCAAGTCCCCCCCACATACCCCATTACAGTCACTGTCCATCAGCACACTAAGATGCTATAGAATCATTACTTGTCTTCTCTGTATATACTGCCTTTCCCGTGTTCCCCCCCACCCGCTACATTATGTGTGCTAATCGTAGTGCCCTGTTTTCCCCCTTTTCCCTGCCTTCCCACCCATCTCCCCAGTCCCTTTCCCCTTGGTAACTGTTAGTCCATTCCTGGGTTCTGTGAGTCTGCTGCTGTTTTGTTCCTTCAGGTTTTCTTGGTTCTTATACTCCACATATGAGTGAAATCATTTGATACTTGTCTTTCTCTGCCTGGCTTATTTCACTGAGCATAGTACCCTCTAGCTCCATCTATGTTGTTGCAAATGGTAGGATTTGTTTTCTTCATATGGCTGAATAATATTCCATTGTGTATATGTACCACATCTTCTTTATCCATTCATCTACTGATGGACACTTAGGTTGGTTCCATTTCTTGGCTGTTGTAAATAGTGCCGCGATAAACATTTGAGTGCATATGTCTTTTTCAAACTGGGCTCCTGCATTCTTTGGGTAAATTCCTAGGAGGGGAATTCCTGGGTCAAATGGTATTTCTATTTTTAGTTTTTTGAGGAAACTCCATACTGCTTTCCACAATGGTTGAACTAGTTTACATTCCCACCAGCAGGGTAGTAGGGTTCCCCTTTCTCCACATCCTTGCCAACATTTGTTATTGTTTGTCTTTTGAATGTTGGCCATCCTAACTGGTGTGAGGTGATATCATTGTGGTTTTAATTTGCATTTCTCTGGTGATTAGCTGTGTGGAGCATCTTTTCATGTGTCTGTTGGCCATCTGAATTTCTTCTTTGGAGAAGTGTCTTTTCAGGTCCTCTGCCCATTTTTTATTGGATTATTTGCTTTTTGTTTGTTGAGGTGCGTGAGCTCTTTATATATTTGGGATGTCAGTCCTTTATCGGAGTGTCATTTATGAATATATTCTCCCATATTGTAGGATGTCTTTTTGTTTTACTGATGGTATCCTTTGCTGTGCAGAAGCTTTTTAGTTTGATATAGTCCCACTTGTTCATTTTTGGTTTTGTTTCCCTTGCCCGGGGAGATATGTTCATGAAGAAGTCGTTCATGTTTATGTCCCAGAGATTTTTGCCTATGTTTTTTTCTACAAGTTTTATGGTTTCATGATTTACATTCAGGTCTTTGATCCATTTTGAGTTTACTTTTGTGTATGGGGTTAGGCAATGATCCAGTTTCATTCTCTTACATGTAGCTGTCCAGTTTTGCCAACACCAGCTGTTGAAGAGGATGTCATTTTCCCATTGTATATCCATGGCTCCTTTATCCTATATTAGTTGACCATATATATGTTTGGGTTTATATCTGGGCTCTCTATTCTGTTCCACTGGTCTATGGGTCTGTTCTTGTGCCAGTACCAAATTGTGTTGATTACTGTGGCTGTGTAGTAGGGCTTGAAGTCAGGGAGCGAGATTCCCCCCGACTTTATTCTTCCTTCTCAGAATTGCTTTGGCTATTTGGGGTCTTTGGCATTCCATATGAATTTTAGAACTATTTGCTCTAGTTCATTGAAGAATGCTGTTAGTATTTTGATAGGGATTGCATTGAATCTGTAGATTGCTTTAGGGAAGATGACCATTTTGACAATATTAATTCTTCCTAGCCAGGAGCATGGGATGAATTTCCATTTATTAGTGTCCTCTTAAATTCTTTTAAGAGTGTCCTGTAGTTTTCAGGGTATAGGTCTTGTTAGGTTTATTCCTAGGTATTTTATTCTTTTGATGAAATTGTGAATGGAATTGTTTTCCTGATTCCTCTTTCTGCTAATTCATCATTAATGTATAGGAATGCAACAGATATCTGTGTATTAATTTTGTATCCTGCAACTTTGCTAAATTCAGATATTAGATATAGTAGTTTTGGCGTGGATTTTAGGGTTTTTTATGTGCAATATCATGTCATCTGCAAACAGGGACAGTTCAAACTCTTCCTTGCCAATCTGGATGCCTTTTATTTCTTTGTGTTGTCTGATTGCTGTGGCTAGAACCTCCAGAACTATGTTGAATAAAAGTGGAGAGAGTGGGCATCCTTGTCTTGTTCCTGATCTCAGAGGAAAGCTTTCAGCTTCTCGCTGTTAAGTATGATGTTGGCTGTGGGTTTGTCATATATGGCCTTTATTATGTTGAAGTTCTTGCCCTCTATACCGATTTTGTTGAGAGTTTTTATCATCAATGAATGTTGAATTTTGTTGAATGCTTTTTCAGCATCTATGGAGATGATCATGTGGTTTTTGTCCTTTTTGTTGATGTGGTGGATGATGTTAATGGATTTTTGAATGTTGTACCATCCTTCTATCCCTGGAAGAAATCCTACTTGATCATGATGGGTGATCTTTTTGATGTATTTTTAAATTTGGTTTGCTAATATTTTGTTGAGTATTTTTGCATCTGCGTTCATCAGGGATTTTGGTCTGTAATTTTCTTTTTTTGTGATGTCTTTGCCTGGTTTTGGTATTAGAATGAAATCGGCCTCATACAAGGAGTTTGGGAGTATTCCCTCCTCTTCTACTTTTTGGAAAACTTTAAGGTGGATGGGTATTAGGTCTTCACTAAATGTTTGATAAAATTCAGCAGTGAATCCATCTGGTCCAGGAATTTTGTTCTTAGGTTTGATTCCCAATTCAATTTCTTTGCTGGTAGTTTGTATTTGCAGATTTTCTGTTTTTTCCTGGGTCAGCCTTGGAAGGTTGTATTTTTCTAGAAAGTTGTCCATTTCTTCTAGGTTATCCAGTTTGTTACCTTATAATTTTTCATAGTATTGTCTCATAATTCTTTGTATTTCTGTGGTATCTGTAGTGATTTTTTCCGTTTCTCATTTCTGGTTCTGTTTATGTGTGTAGATTCTCCTTTTTTTTCTTGATAAGTCTGGCTAGGGGTTTATCTATTTTGTTTATTTTCTCGAAGAACCAGCTCCTGCTTTCATTGTTCCT